GCAGTTGCCCATGGCTCACCGCGGTTCAAGTCCCAGCCCTGGGTACTTGCTTTCTCCCTTTTCCTTTCTCTCTCTCTGGTCAAATTAATAATAATAACAACAAATAAAATAAAACAAATAATTATTTTTAAGAAGAGTTTATTTATTTATTTTTAATTTGGCCAAAGAGGGCCAGAGCACGGTGGGGGGAGTGAGAAAGCAAGCTGCCAGGTTTGGGACTCAAACCGTGGTCAGCCATGTGGGAGTCCAGTGTCCTTAACCACCATGCCACCTGCTGGCCCCAAAACACTTACTTTTTAATTGCCAAAAGGTGCATGCATTTGCCAGGGAGAGCGACAAAGAGAGAGGGAGAGGGACAAAGCACCCCCACAAGGAGAAGAGGGCATGGTCATGCCACATCCCTTCTCCTCCATTTCTCCATCGTGTCAGGATCTGGGGTACATATACACATGTGCTAGTGTTTTCCAAGTTACTAGGGCCAGGATTCGAACTGCAGTCAGTCATGTGGAATCTGGGCTCCTTAACCACTGAGCTATGGGGCTGGCCCCTATAGAAAATACTTTCTACATGAGCCCAGGTCTGAAAAAAGTCAGGAAGCACCAATTTCAAAGCAAATGCATTCATGCTGGAACTGTGCTCAGCATACCCCCGAAGCCGTTTCCTGTAAGCTCTCCACCAGCGTCTCATCTCCCTGTGTCTGCTCCTCACTGTACTAGGAACCAGGGAGCAGGCAGAGTCTGCTGATGCAGGATTTCTAAGAAGGTTTCTCGGGGGCATGAACAGAAGGGCATCTGGGGGGCTGGCAGGTGGTACGATGCTTAAAGACACTGGACTCCCACATGGCTGACTGCGGTTCAAGTCCTGGACCTGGTGGCTTGCTTTCTCACTTTCCCTCTCTTTCTTTCTCTGTCTCTCTTTGATCAAACTGGAAAATAATAATAAAGTTAAATTTTAAAAAAATTCTTAAAAAAAAATAAAAACAGGAATCTAGGAATCTAGGAACTAATTCAGGCCTTTGGCAACTGGCAGCTGAGCTAGGATCAACTGGAAGAGGGCAGCCTGCCCTCTGGTGACATGTGGAAAGAACAGCAGAACTGCTCCTTACCAGCTCCCAGCAGCAAGGTGGACCAAAGGTTGATGTTCAACATCATGTGGTTGGAGCCTGTTTGGTAATGAGCCCGCATATGGTCCTGGGAAACGCCTGTCAGTCCATCTAAGGTCAGAGACAACAGCTGGGAAAGAAGGGGAAGAGCCTGCAGTGAGGAGGGTGGCTGGGCTGGTTCCTAACCCAGGACACGGGATTCTCACCCTCAAGCTCCTCAAAAACCTGCTTGCCATTTAGTCACAAGGTGGGGTGGTGACAGACCCACCCTGTACCTAGCCATCCCTCCTTACCTCCTTCCAGGCGCTGACTGACAGGCTAAGTGAGCCACAAAAGGATACTGTAACCACAGGAGAGCAGGAAACCTACCATGCCCGACCATAACGGCCTGAAGCTGGTATGCAGGGAGGGCCCTAACCTAGGCTGTAGCCAGCCAGGCACATTCTCCTGTTAAAGCTAGAGGAGAAATCGAGTCTTAGCCGGTGAGCGTCCTAACTGGAGCACAGTGTTCCAGAGACTGAATTCTGTGGGCAGACTGCCTGGACTGGAATCCTGACCCTGCCACTTACGCAGCTATGTGATCATGGGCAAGGGACTTAACCTCTCAGTGTTTCGGTTTCCTCATCTGTAAAATGGAGATAACACTACCTATGTGATTACTGTTGTAAAAACTGATCAATGAATACACAAAACACTTGGAACAGTGCCTAAGACCTAAACGACAGCAACTAGTGTATTATTGTTTAACTCTGGCCTCCAGGTTTCTTGGAAAGCCACAGTGAGCCACACTACCCGTTCGTTTCCTCTCGGCCCTCTCTCAGGTCTCTGATCTCAAGCCAGGATTCGGACAAAGCTCTGAGTAATGGCCTCCTCAGCAGGAGAGCTGAGCTATAGTTAGATATTTTAGGAATATCACTACAGTCTGAGCAGAGTCAGAGGCCCCGCAGCAACGACCAGAAATGGGGGCAAGGAGCACCACGGCTTCCCTTGGCCTCTGTCTGCCTAGTTAGGGCTGACCTTTGGGTAGGTTTGCCAGAAAGGTCCTTCCCCAATAAGATCGCATACCAGGAGCAGCTCTCCGTAGCCGACTGTGTGTTCTTCCATCCCAACTACTTTCTTGGGCTTGTACATGAAAAGGGCCACTCCAGCCACAATAAGCAACACACACAGATACTTGGCCAGGGGGTACTTCTTCTTCAAGAGGGTCACGCCAAGTAGCATGACTAAAGGGAAAAAACAGAATGGCAAGTTTAGATACCCACAGGCCGATGACCCCAACACCCTCCTCCCAGGAACCAAGAAAAGACTCAGAGGGAAAGAATGGCAAGAAGGAAGGCCTACAGAGGACAGGAGAGTGACAAGTGACACCTAGATAAAGATGATTGAGCAACAGGGCTGAGTAGTGACCAAGGCAGGGAAAAGGTATAAAGCAAAGGTGAAAGTTCCAGGAAGGAACAAGATAAGGGTAGGGAACAGTGGGGAAGGATGAGAGGTTGAGAGCATGAAACTGACGACCCAAATGGAACTTAGGCTGTCGAATGGCAATGTAAATACATGGGCCACCCAAAAGACCGACCCTGTGAAGCAGACCAGGTCAGGCACATCTCCATTAAGGATTTCCAGCCAATGCATGCCACAACAAGTGACATAGACAGGACAGGCAGAGTGCAGGGCCGGAGGAAAGTGCCTGGAGATAGCTACATTGGGATGACAAAGCCCAGGGGGACACAGAGTTCTAGCAGAAGGAGCTTACTATGGGAAGACTGAAAACAGAAGATGGAGACCATCTTCTTCTGCTTACCTGGGATTGGCTTGCAGGATTTACCAAGGACCTGAAATTAAATTCAGCAAATAACTTCTGAGCACCTGTGATGGGCCAGGTCCTGGGCCAGGTGCCAGTGATTAAGATGAGCAAGCAGAGGGCCTGTACTGGGGACCTCAGCCTCAGAAAGCAGCCCTAGTAGGGCCCGACCCACCGCCACCAAACCCTGGCCAAATGGTTCTTCTACATACTGAATTTTCCAAACACATTCTACCTTTTCATTCAAGTCACAGACCTAATAAAAGATCCCACAGTTTTTAAAAAATCTCTGAACCCACCCTCATCCCACCCTGAGGTTTCACCTGAGTTGGGTAGTTGACAAACTGGAGAGCTGAGTTGCTGGAGACCATGGCACCCAGATAGGAGACAGAACAGACAGCATAGAGCCAGCTCCGAGTACGATCCACCCTGGCAGTGTCAAAAAACTGGATCACTAGGAGAAGACAAAAAACATACAAGAGAAACCTGGTGGGGCTAGGATGGACCACTAAGCAGAAACGGAAGCTCTAGGGAAGAAACTTATCAAATAAGACGCAAGCTATTTCCACTCTCTTAGACTGAGAAATCTGAAAATTATTCAGCTCTCTAATTCTCCCTAATCTCAACACAAGACCACATGCAGGGTAGAGGTGGGCGCCTGCTTCACTTCAAGGGATGAGTTAGCCCTGCTGCTAGTTCCAGAGAACAAAGACAAACTTTAAAACATCCTTGAAGCTGACACATAAAGGAAATCAAAGGGACAAAGGGAAAAGTGTTTTAAGTATTCTCAATGGGGATTTGGAACACAGAAAATCCATTTTATGTACATTCCTGATTCAGAAGTTAGTCTAATATAAGGAAATACTACTTAACCATTTCAATGTCATTAGCTTTACAGACTACACCGAGAGGCTGTGTGAGCACTAACGGAGGTGAAGGTCATGGGACCTGGACCTTAAGATGGAAACAATTGGGGGGCACTATGTAGGTACTCACAGATCTTGGCAAACACAGCATTGATCACACATTGGATGAAGACCAAAGTTAAGGCAAAGGTGAACGTTTCCTGCTTAGCCCCCTCTCCATACTTTCCTCTTGTTCTAAAAATGAAATGTATGAGAAAAAGAGTGGGGAAATTAGTATATTTCACTCACTGTCATCTAGGATATACAAAGTCACTGAAAGCTTTGGAATTATGTCTCTCTGGATGTAGAGACAGTTGGTAAGGATCACTGGGCTCATTTTCAGAAGGGGTTGATTTCACCGCATCTAGAAAGTAGATGCCCCAGTTCGCTGGCCCTATAGGGCAGAGGAAGAATATCCGTAAAGGATGGAGCTAGAGGAAACACGGGAACTTAAGATGGTGACACCAGGTACTCTAGGTTGGAGAAAGTATGTGTGCTAGGGCAGCAGGGCCAATGGCAGCAGCCGGGAGTTCCAAAGAGAAGACGGCTCAAGTCATGAAAATCTGACTGGGGACTGAAGTCAGCCTGTACAACTCAGCCCTATAGATCAACATGGGAAAAACGGATAAGAAAGTAAAAATAAGCAGAAATCCATAGGCCAATTCTGGCATTTTGGGATTCTGGGGAAGATCAGGGATTCTGGAGAGGATCAGTCTCGGCTGCAGGCGTAACGGGATCCAGGAACAGCAAGGGAGTCAGGCGGGAGGACAAGAAGGCGGCCCGGGGCCAGGAGCAGGAGGCCGGAGAACCAGGACCCAGGCTGGCTAGAGAGGGCTGGCTGCGGGGGGAATGTCTGCGTTCCGCCCGGGGGGCCCGCTCACATCTTTTCCTGCAGGATCCCATAGTAGAAATAGCAGACAAAGACGCCCAGGAAGCAGAGCGGCAGGCGC